AATGCAATACAATAATTCCTATTCCTTCTAAGACTAGCCAAATAATATTCCTACTTGGTTCATTTGGTGTGACAGTCCTGCTTTGATGCCTTCTTTGCAATCAAGTCCCTTAAAGTCTATCATCCTGGTAAATCCAAGGAGTGGAACATTTGATACTGCCCTCTTTGATATGTGCAAAACACATAACACATCACTTTGAGCTTTGCTTGTTTGAAAATAAAAATTGAGAAGCTGCAAAATCAAGTGTTGTTGTTGATGATGATGAGACTACCTAGCCTTTCTTAGGAAAAAAGGAGATTGAGTGACTACAGCCCAATGCTTTGCTTGAAATTTTGCTGGAAGCTTATGTGATCTCAGAAAGAAGAAAGAGAAGCATGACAAGAAGGCAGTATGCTGCAGAAGGGTGGTTTAGTAGGGCTGGCAGATAATATTCTGATATCTGATGATATTCCCCATTGTATTCCCCATGGCAATAATTTAGTGATTGGGCAAGCTCATCCCAAAAACCCAGAACGCCTACATCATGGTTTTAAAATTTCCCATTTAGGATCTAACCTAGTTCCTCTAGAGGTAATCAGATTAACTTTGCTCTATTCTTTTAATTACTTCTCAGCCTTTGGGCTAATATAAAGTGTAACATTATTCTTCCATTACATGGTGAATTTCCCTAATTTAGGAAATAAATGCACCGCCCAGTCCCTTTGACTAACTATTGTATAAACTGCATACAAGTGTAATGTTCTGCTCTGGTTTATTTTTATTATCTTCATCATGAAGTGCTTTACAATTAAGAGCAATGCAATTTGGTAAAAAGACAATGGGTAGAAGATTTATTTTCTGAAAACAGAAACCATTATTTCAACTTTGCACAGCATTATTATGAATACGTCTTTGCTTTAATCTTTTGTAATGAGTGTGATGGACATCAAAATATAGCCAAAATTAAGCCACATTTCCATAGCATGAATAATTGGAATATGATCGTCAAAACATTGCTTCACTTCTGTTCTGTATTCCATACAGCTGAGTGCACAAATAGTAATTAATTACAACTACTTTAAACTGTATAGTTTAAAAGAATTATGTTGTTTTTACCAAAGCCAGAAAGACTTCAAGCCTGTTTAGGATACTAGCTCAGTGAAATGTATAGCATTACTTAGGAATGTAATGTCTACACATAAATACATTATGATTGTCTAAATGCTTGAAGCAAGCAATGGACATATTAAATGCTTTAATCAAGTAATGAACATATTAAAATAAAATTTATTGTGTATTTTCAATTAGCCCCACCTTCCACCAAGTCACTCAAGTTTGCTTAGCTACTGAGGACATTAATGCAGAGAAAAAAGCCTTCTCATCTGTAACAGTAAATACATATGTTTTTGCTTGACCAAGCTCCTGATAAGGCAGGCATCTTACTCATTCACATAGAAGCCAAACTACATATGTACAGGCACTCTTCCCTGCAGATTTCCATATGACATGTATATTGGTATGAAGAGGAGCGTATTGTTAGAAGAGATGGGGCTTAATGAGATCAGGGTACTCTCATAGTGAGTAGCTATTTTTTTACTTTATTGTTGTTGTTGTTGGTGTCATTATTATTGTTGTTGTTATTATTATTATTATTATTTTCAAATTGAAGTAGAGCAAAATGGCCAGGCTTTGAATCTGCAAATTGATGTCAATGAATAGAAGAAAATGTCCATCCGCAGGGTAAATTTGCCCTTAAAGTCCACCATTCTTGTCTCAATGTGCCAACTGTGAAGCTGCTCTGTGCTTAATTTTTTAAAAGAAAAAGTTTTAAAAATATCCATTGTATGCAATGTCTAAATAAAAAAAAATGTAGTATTTTTTTTTTTTTTAAACTAACTGAACGTGACATACACAAGAACAAAACCTTTGTGTCCCAGGAACATAAAGATGCATGAGAGAAAAAGTCCTTATACAGATAAAACAGTGTATAACAGTTCCAGGTTTGTGTAGCAACTAAGATTTGAACCTTGGTTGCTGAGCTCATAGTAGGGAATACTAACCATTGTACAACAATGATTGGATTGACTTAGCTGTGAGTAGCTCTTCAGATTGCAGAAATAAGTTTGAAAAAAAAATGAAAATAGCTGATAGTCTTCACTCAGCAGAATGCACAGAAATAAACTGACAACCTATTAAGAAGCCATCTTTTGCTTTCTTAAGACATTCATTAGAATGAATACAGTATCACTTTAGAATGAAAAGGTTTAGCATCAGAGGAAATATAGCTAATAACAGAAAAAGTCAATGCAGAATAGCACAGAGGAAAATCATATATAAAAAGTGACAAAGGGACAATGATAATGAATGGATACAGAGAAGACAATTTGCAAGAAAGAGCAGAAATAGAAGCAAACTTTAAGTTTAAGAGAATAGGAGAAAAATTGGAAGATTAGGAAAAAGTGGACACAATTATAACTTCCACAAGAAGAAAGAACATTGAGATATTCCCAGGGCTCTAAAAGAGTGACCCCTGCTCATTTTGGAACGGACGCCTCAGTTGAATGAAAATACAACATCAAAGGATTTGTGTCCTTCTTTTACATCCCAGTGACTGAAAGAAAAGGAGAAAGATTAAAGAGACACATCAGAAGCTCTGATTAATTTAAGTCACTGGAACATGCAGATAATACATATGTCTTTCTGGGTCAGAACAAGAAAGCAACCCTTCTCTTGGAGAGATATGGCACAATCTCACCAATCAAGGGAAAAAAAAAGATGATTCACATAATTAGAGGCAATTGACAGATTAGGACGAACATTTTGAGGGAAACAAAAAGAAATAAACAATAGAGGATACTATTTTTTAGGAGTAACAGAATAACAGAGTTGGAAGGGACTTTGGAGGTCTTCTAGTCCAACCCCCTGCTCAGACAGGAAACTCTCTACCATTTCATATATATGGTAACCCAATTTATTCTTAAAACCTTCAGTGTTGGAGCATCCACAACTTTTGGAGGCAAGCCATTCCACTGATTAATTTTTCTATCTGTCAGAAAATTTCTCCTTAGTTCTAGGTTGGCTGTCTCCTTGATTAGTTTCCACCCATTGCTTCTTGTCCTGTCTTCAAGTGCTTTGGAGAATATATTTCTATTTGTCAGAACCCAGATTGGAGAATTGGAACCGATTAAAAAATGCATGATGGGAAAAAGACTTTTTAAAAAACATTGAGAACTGCATTTACAGTTCTATATAAGGGCAATTTTTCCAGTGTATCTATAGTATGTTTCCTGGCCCTGGTCTTGATGCAGCTTGATGCAAATGATATAAAGAGAATCATTGCAAAGTTACATCAGTGTAAATTCTTTACAAAGCAGCAGTTTCAGTGAAATAGTCTGAGTATGAACTAGCTTTACCTAACCAGCCGCCTCTTAAAGTAACAATCCTGTAATCTGGATAAATATGGAAAGATATCTCGCTTGTTGCATCCTTGTGAAAAAATGAAAGAAAATTGTTTGGAATGCATGATGGAGAAAATGGGAAGCTGGTAAATACAGCATGTCAAACTGGCCTGGAGAATTCCCCCTCTGTTGCATGGGAGAGAGAGCCCTCTTCCTTTTTTTTTTTTTTAAACAACAACAACAGCATTTTATTGAATTATAGAGTAAAATACAAAATACAAAGCAAATAGTAGGACACAATGGGGAGGAGAAAGGGAAAAGAAAGTGAGGGAAAGAGGAGAAAAAGAAAAAAAAAGACATTGACTTCCAACTTCCATTGCAGTAGAATAAAGCATTAATGTCGAGCTACAACTTTTTAACTTTTTCACAATAGTATAAACTGGCCATTTCTGTAACAACAGATCAATCTAATCGGTGAAACCCAACATCAAAGTTTCATCTTTTTCCACCTCAAGCACAAACTCCAGGAGCGGTCTCCAAGTAGGGAGAGAGCCCTCTTCCAAGATAAGGAAGACTTGAAGAGGCCGCAAATTAGCACAGGTAGTCCTCAACTTATGACCACAATTGAGCCCAACATTTCTGTTGCTAAGTGAGACATTTGTTAAGTGAGTTTTTTCCCCATTTTATGACTTTTCTTGACACATTTGTTAAGTGAATTACTGCAATTATTAAGTTAGTAACATGGTTGTTAAGTGAATCTGGCTTCTCCATTGACTTTGCCTGTCAGAAGGTCACAAAAGGGGATCACTTGACACCCGGGACACTGCAACCGTCATAAAGATGAACCAGTTGCTGAGCATCTGAATTTTGATCACGGAGATGCTACAATGGTCATAAAAGTGTGAAAAGTAGTCATAAGTCACTTTTTCAGTGCCATTGGAACTTCGAACGGTCATTAAATGGACTGTTGTAAGTCGAGGATTACCTGTACTGTGAAAATCAAATTACATCTCTACAAAAATATCCTTTAGGAGATTTTTTGTAAAAAAAAAAAAATCCTTTTGGGGAACATAGATGGTACATGAAGAGTGCAATCATTTTTGAAAACTTAACAATGGAACATTAATTTATAAAGAAAAGAAGATGCTTTGAAGTGAGTGGTTGAAATAATAGCGGTTGGAATAATAGATATGGTTGACATTTCTGTCATTTAAAATCTCAGTAAGATTGGTTATTACTGTTCACAATGCCATTTTACCTTTATATAAAATCAATCTATGTTAAGTATATTTTGTAGTTAAAAATGGTATATTAATGACCTGCGAACTTTTTATATGAATTTTAAAACTGTGTATTCTTACATGCGTACATTTTTACAGTGGTAAAAATATAGGATGATGTGCAGATAAAAACTATTATTCATCTTCTCTGCTCCCACGTTCTTAAAACAATGAGCAGAAAAGCAACATAGAAATGTTTTTAATGTAATGATACAACTCAAAGGAATGTATTTGGAACATATGCTTTGGGTTCTAATAACGTAGCTATATTTATTAGTACAGCTGGCACAGAATCTTCAGCTTTTTCCTGAAATATATTTTAAAAAATTCACTTGCCATTTTATGCCATGACTCGGATTTGAACCGAGGTTGCTGCGGCCACAACGCAGAGTACTAACCACTATACGATCATGGCTGGCTGGCTCTGCTTTGTTCCAAATAGCTCTTCCTTACAGTTGCGGTGGGAATTGGCCAGAGCCTGCGAGATGAAAAACACTGAAGAGCAGTTTGATAATACTGCTGATCTCAGAAATCTCAGAGCCTGCCTCTTTTTTCCAGTTGTGCTTCTTTCTGTTATCAACCAAATACAGTTTTTTTTAAAAAAAATCCTTTGCTGTGTTTGCACTGGAAAATATGAGCTTCTTCAAAAGCAAAATATTCTTCCTACAGTGGGAAAAAGCTAGTTTAGAATGCAATAAGTGAGAATCATATATCTAGCTGAGGGGTGAGGATTTGTGATCTTCCAAAACCCTTCCCCAAATTAGACACCCTTCCAATGTGCAGATTTCAGATCCCAGATTCCTTAGGCAGTGTGGCTGTTGCTGACATTTCTAGAGGATAACAAGTTTGTGGAAAGGCTCTGCTGGCAACTACAATTTAGAGACATTCCCAGGGGTCATAATTTTCAAACTCCTAGTCTATACCAGAAATTCAAACTGTAGATTTTTTGGTTCAATGGAATTTACCAGCAAGCTTTTTTTTTCAGAAAAAAAAGTGTACATTTATTGCACCTGCAGGGAACAGGCGGGTTTTGTAGTAAGGACAAAGTAATGAAGAAGCTAAGATTTGGGTCTTTCTTACTTGTACCTAATCATGACAGAAATGTGCCCGGGCATCCTCTTTTCTTGTGACACTGTTTTATTAAATTTGTAAGACTACTCAACTGTATAAGGATTTATATTTTCATCTCATTCCCTAGCCCACAATAAGATGATTTCAAGTTATCCTTAGCTATATTGATGTTAAAAATAGTATTTTCTTACTTATCCTTAATACTTACTAAGCAAAACCTCAAGGTGTATAAAATCTGCCTAACTTTTGTTGTTGACTATTATGGCGGTAAGTTGGGGCAGTCTAGTGGCTTGAAATAGTACCAATGGAAACACGATGGAGCTCTGCAACAAGCATATCAAAATTTCATGAGAGCAGAGATTTTCTGCCAGTTGAAAGATGGGTGGATAACATCCAGATGTTGCAATATCAAGCCCTTGGACCTTGATATCTGGAGATAGCCAGTTTGATTTCAATAATTTGATGCAGATTTCTAAAGTTCCTGGAGAGCCGTTGGTCGTTTCCTGAAAGAAGAAATAAATCTATTAAAAAAATGGGTTGTTCAAATTCAAGTCAGAGATGTTATGGACTTAATAAACATGATTAAACATATGATTACTTCTAGCTTGAAACTGTGATGCTGATCCAAGAGCAAATCTATCAGAAATCAAAAGGAATTGTAATCCTTCCTTCAGTGGACTGGGCTTTGAACCCAAGACTTCTTATATTCCAAAGGTGAATCAGGCTTGCAAGGCAAGCAGGAGATTGCTATATTAAGAATTTTGTGACAGCTAGTCTTAAGGGCTTTTGCCCTGCGGTCTCACTGGCAGAATATAATGTACTTTGCTAATGTAGCATCTTCCTCCTGTCTTTAGCATCTCACTCCTGTCTTTAGAGTAAGTGGCCTAAATTATAGCATGAGGCACCATGGCTAAGTTGGTTAAAGCACCTGTCTAGTAAACAGGAGATCCTGGGTTCGATTCCCAGTGGTGCCTTAGGAACGAAACCTTTTGATACTAACAAGATGGATACAGCTGAACAGGGCACACCTGGGTCTTTTTATTATTGCAAAGCAAAAAGAAAACCTGATCAACAGTCTGATTTTACATCATGATTGAGATTAGAATTTTGAATGAAATTCAAAGGCAGAGGCAATGAAGACCTTTAACCACCATCCCATATTTTTACAATCACAGCTAGGACTTGATAGGGAGTGCATTCCTCTAATTAGTTTGTGGATGTCGAGGATGGCTAGTTTTATTAATTCAGCTCTGCCAAGTATAAGGCCTTCCCGGGTATCTTTCTGATGATTATGGCTGTAGCTTTTCATATCAAAAGCAAGAGTAATATCAATACACTAACAAGCCAAGCATGATATTTCTTTGCTTTGAAGGCTATACAACACCAATACTGAAATGTATGTATATGTGCATGTAAGGCTGGCTTTAGGCTAAGGCTGAGTAGGTTCTGGCCTAGGGCACTAAAACCTAGGGGTGCCGACACTGCCCCTCCTTCCAGATCATTCTAAAAATGGAAATTCTTACATCAGTAGCATTGATGCCATCAGGTGGTGTCATGGGGTACCATATTCCCTTGAGTTGGCACTGTATATCTATATCTATGTAGGTCTTTGGTTATTCGGGTTTTCTCCTGTGTCAAATTGGAAGTGTCTTGGTGACGTTTCGACGAAGTCTCATTCGTCATCTTCAGGCTGGTAGAAGCATGAAGCCGAAAACACCAGCCTGAAGATGACGAATGAGACTTCGTCGAAACGTCGCCAAGACACTTCCAATTTGACGCAGGAGAAAACCCGAATAACCAAAGACCTACATACAAACACCCGCGAAAACCTCAGAAAACATCTATATCTATATCTATATCTATATCTATCTATATCTATATCTATATCTATATCTATATCTATATCTATATCTATCTATCTATCTATCTATCTATCTATCTATCTATCTATCTATCTATCTATCTATCTATCTATCTATCTTCTGGCATCAATTGTGCCACAACTGGCAATATGCCTAAGCTAATTAAAATGCTTGTCTGCTAAACAGGAGATTCTGAGTTTGACCCCCCCAACGGGGACTTAGGGGCTATTTCTTTGGGCCTTGGGGATCTGGCCTTGCAATTCTCTGAATGTGTTTGATTGCTCACCAAGGGAAGAAAGAAATATATAAAAGTTCAGAGGTTATATTATGATTCAGATCTGGTCTACTGCAGTCCCACTGCTAGAGGAAAAGCTTTACTTCTGCACCTTCCAGGAGAACGTGGTGTATGCTACTATCATGCCAATTTAGCCTAACCTGAAGTTATAAATAAGCCAGGCAACATACCTAGGGCAATGACATTAAGTTAAAGTATCTGCCTCATAAACAAGAGGTGCTGGGTTTGCTTTGGTAGTAGTATTTTGAGTTATGCTGTGGCATTCTAACAGTTGTTCCAGGAAGATTGGGAGCTTTTCCCCATTCCATGAAGTGGAAAAGAAAGCCATTTAAATCCTGAGTTTGTGTTGTGATTTGGATTTAAAGCAGCATGTTGTCTTGTTTTCTGGCAGGAACAAACTCAGAGTAATCAGTGTCTAAATGTGTTAGAGCTCCTAAATAGCAAACAAAACATCTTCATTTCAATTCTGGACAGTGCCTTGGAGATATTTTTGTTTGACAGTGAAGAGAAAGCTGCTCATGATTTCTGAAAATGAAAAAAATCTCTCCCCTCCACCCTTTTGCAATAAGTAGACAGAATGGCCAGTATTTTCATCCCCATGTTGTGTTTTCATCCCCAGTATTTGAATCCCTATATTGTAGTGTGATTTAAGCTTATCCTTATTTCTTACATTTCCCCAAAACACTCTGCAGTAAGATGGCAATGTAGCTGGCTCTGAACTGGTTTCTCTGATTTTGTATCTCTTTGGCCAAGGGAACTAGTTACTCCAGTGCCCTCAGGTTACCACAGCCACGCATGAAAAGTGTAATCTTTGAGGTAGGAGCCTTTTGAATGGTTTCTTGGATTTTCAAAGCACAATTATAATAACGCAAAATCTTTCTTAAATGTATGTGACATGAAAATCCCCTGCATTTACAATGAAAGGGACAGTTAATATATTGCAATTATATATTTGTTTTCAAATAAACCGTCTTGCTACTCTCAATGCTTTAAAACTTTTATACAGCAGCTTTTTGCAACTTGGTGCTTTCCAGATGTATGAGTTTATAATCCTCAGCATTACAATTTCCATAATTCTTCAAAGAGTAACACATCCTTGGAGAAAAGGCTATTCTGGGTGGAATGATGGGAATTTTAATCCAATTCATTAGGGAAGTCTTCCACAGAATTTTAAGGCTGCCTATTCACTTGTCTGGAGTCCCCGGTACCAGGAATTCAGTTTAAGCAAAATAAAAAATCTAACTCTTTTGTTTCCAGATTCACAAGATAGTGAGAACTGCAAGGTAAATTTACTGTAGCTAACCATTTTGATTTCCTAGGTTTGAATGGCTCAAGTAAGTGGTAAGAAAATGCAAGGCATTTTAAATTCCTTTTATGTATGCTTCAAAGCCTCTGTTGCTTTAGTAATGAGTTCTCTCATTTACTGCGGTGTTGGGAGGGGAAGTAGATAAACTCAAGGTCTCTTGAGTTTACTATATACGTTGGCAGCACCCACCACACATTTATCCTGGAAGGAATGAAGGAAAGTAATGGAAGGTTAGGATTTTCAGATATTTGAAGGGAGGACATGGATAACTGGAAAGGAAGAAAAAATAGGGAAAGCAGGATTAAAAGTGAAGGACCATTCAAGGTCCAGAAATATCAAATGGCTATAGAAGGTGATCAATCAGAATGAGAAGAGACATTAGAAGTTTGGACTCCTGAAGAGAAGGAAGAAAGGAAAGATATATTAAGGTGGATTCCTAGGAGGGATGAGGTGCATTCTAGAGGAGTAAGAGGCAACTCAGTTTAGAATTTATTTGTAAGAGAAAGGAGGTGAAGACAGCCCCTTCCTAACAGAGTGTATTATAGATGCAGATATGAACCTGGCAAAATTTTGTTTATAGGTGGTAAACAATAAAGAACTCAGCTTGGGAGAATCACTATGTATCACTTTTGTTTTGGGCCTGTTGAAAAAAGGAAAGGAGGAAAGAAGGAAAGGAGGAAAGAAGGAAAGAAAAAACATAGATAGATAGATAGATAGATAGATAGATAGATAGATAGATAGATAGATAGATAGATAGATAGAAGTCACAGTAGAAAAATTAGGATGTGTCACATAGTCAGTCTGATCATCATGTCATTATTATGCACACCTCCCCATTTTGTACATATGTTGGGACATCACATACATGTCCAAAAGAAGCA